TGGCTCTTCGTCCTTCCTCCGTTCCACTACGTGTTTCTCTTCCTGCTCTTCCTGGGTCCTCTCTTCCTGCCAAACCTGACCCTGAGTCTGACTGCGCTCGTGCTGCCAGTCCCACGGTCTCTCGTCTCCTCGCCACTGTTGTCTCTGACCCTTCTTTTGAGTCCGCTGCTGCGTCTGCCCTCGTTGCTGAGCTGGTTGACATTGCTGCTGTCTGTCGTCTAGACTACGCCACTTCTCTTGTTGCTGAGTCTACGTCTGCCAGTCCTCCGTCCGTCGAGGGTGGGTGTGCTCTTGGCACGGACGTCCTTGAGGATAGGCAGGAGGACTTTGAGTGTCTTGCATCTGCTGTACCTCGTTTCGCTTCCATGCTGCTTGCCCCTGAGGGAGACCCGGATGCACCAGACATCCCGACCCCGCGCTCTTACGCAGAGGCGATTACGGGTCCCTACTCCTCTCAGTGGCAGGCAGCCATGGATGCCGAGATGCAATCCTGGAAGTCCACAGGCACCTACGTCGACGCAGTTCCCCCCGTCTCGGGCGAACATAGTCGATGGCATGGTGGATTTTCAGTGTTAAGCGGCCGCCAGATTCTCCGCCTGCCTTCAAGGCGCGCTACGTTGCTAGAGGCTTCAGTCAGCGACAGGGGGTCCACTACTTCCAGACCTTCTCCCCCACCCCGAAGATGACCACTCTTTGGGTGTTGCTGCACGTCACTTCTCAGCGTGACTACGAATTGCACTCTCTGGACTTCAGCACAGCTTTCTTGCAGGGCAGCCTGCACGAGGAGATCTGGCTGCGCCGCCCACCTGGCTTCACTGGGTCGTTTCCTGCTGGTACCCAGTGGAGCCTCCGGAGGCCAGTCTACGGTCTCCGCCAGGCGCCTCGCGAGTGGCACGACACACTGAGGACTACACTTGCGGCTCAGGGGTTTACTCCTTCTACTGCTGACCCGTCGCTGTTTCTACGCACCGACACGTCGCTGCCGCCGTTCTACGTCCTCGTGTATGTCGACGACCTCCTCTTTGCCACTGCTAAGACTGAGGCACTGACCCTTGTGAAGTCGGAGTTGCAGAAGAGACACACTTCCACTGACCTTGGTGAACAATGCAGCTATCTTGGCCTGCTGATCACCCGGGACAGAGCACGGCGCACCATCACACTGACTCAGTCACAAATGGTGCACCAGGTCGTTCAGCGCTTCGGCTTCCAGTTCTCCTCGCCACAGCCCACTCCTCTGTCTACCGGCCACTCACTCTCAGCTCCACCTTCGGATGAGTCCGTAGAGCCGAGTGGTCCGTACCCAAAGCTTGTGGGTTGCCTCATGTATCTGATGACGTGCACACGACCTGACCTCGCGTACCCTCTCAGACTCCTTGCTCGCTACGTGGCTCTCGGTAGGCACCGAAAGGTGCACTGGGATGCCTAGAAGAGGGTACTGCGTTACTTGTGCAATACGTCAGGCATGGGGCTCGTGCTTGGAGGACGGGGTCCAGTTGTCCTCACTGGTCACGCAGACGCTTCTTGGGTTGACGACTCAGCTACGCAGCGGTCTTCACAGGGTTACACGTTCAGCCTCGGTTCCGGCTCTGTTTCTTGGCAGTCTACACGCTCGTCTTCGGTTCTTAGCTCCAGTTGTGAGGCTGAGATCTACGCTGGGGCCATGGCTGCACAGGAGCTCCGCTGGCTCACCTATCTGCTGACTGACTTGGGAGAGCAGCCTCGTTCGCCCCCAGTTCTGTACGTAGAGAACAAGGCCATGATTGCCTCGTGTCAGGAGCACAGACTGGAGCACCGAACGAAGCACATCGCTTTGCGATACTTCCTTGCTCGAGAGTTGCAGTAACGTGGCCAGCTTCGTCTTGCGTACGTGGCCACTAGGGCCAACACTGCTGATATATTCACCAAGGCACTTCCGCCTGGTGATCATCAGCGCTTCTGTACTGTGTTAGGCCTTGTGCCTACTTTGCCTCACTTGCTCATTGCATGACGTTGCTTGTACTGTGATCTATATATATACCCGCATGCTTGCACTTGCTAGGGTATGATCAGTGTATTGTTTGTTCTCTTTTATATAACTCTGCATGTGAACTGGCCTTGTGGCCCTTTGCTTGTGATCGGACTGTGTGGTGACTTTGTGATCCACCCTGAGCTTGCTTTGCTTTCTTGACTGGTCTTGTGACCACTTGTTCTCCCCCACTTTGCCTATGGGGGTGTGTCAGAATATCATAGTGCTTACATTTGTGTAGGCTATAGTGGGGTAGCCCATAAGGGGTACAACCCAATTAGGGTTAGTACTTGTACCCAACTCTTTCATAATTCATTCATTCTTGTTCGTTAGTTTGACTTTATGTGCCTAGAACTCTAATCACCTCTCATGTTTCTACCCATCCCCTCCTGCTGTGCGGTGTTTTTCGTGCGCAGAGTGCACTAAGGACTGCGAGTCGTTTTGGAAGTTCGTGCGCATCAACAGGGCGCGGCACAACTTCGACCCGGCCCACATCGTCAACGCGGACCAGACGCCTCTCTTCGTTGAGATGCCGGCCAAGAGGACGATCGAGCACCGTGGCGCGCGCTCGGTCCCAATCCGCACTGCAGGATATGAGAAGACGCGGCTGACGGTGATGCTCGCGTGCACCGCATCCGGGGAGAAGCTGCGCCCGTGGGTGTAGTTCAAGCTGAAAATCGTGCCAAAGTGTGACATTCCGGACTGTAAGCTAACTGAATTCTGCCTGTAGAGCTTGCCCTTCTTTTCAAGACTGTAGAGCTTACCCTTCTTGTCTGACCCCCCTCTCTCCCCTCTTTGCCTGGCAGGAGTCGCGTGCCAAGCACAGGATAATGGGTGGATGGACGAGAGCGCTGTGCAGACCTGGCTGACCAAGGAGGTGCTGCCCCATCTCAATCCACAGCGCGGTCAGAACCCGAGGCGTGCGATGCTGGTCTTGGACTCCTACCGAGGCCACATCACCCAGGGCATGCTCCAAGCCTACCGTACGCATAGCATCACCCCTGCAGTAATCCCATAATGTTGCACGAGCCAGATTCAACCCCTGGACGTCTCCATCAACCGGTGCTTCAAGGCCGTGGTGCGCGCACGCTACGCAAGGTGGTTTATGCGTGAAGGGATTCACCTGAAGACGAAGAAGGGCGGGTCACTTTTATACAAGTTCAGCGTTGTTACCCTTTCATGTCCTGTTACACCTCCATGTCTCTAACGGCGTGCTGTCCCTGCCTCTGTCCCACTCTCAGGGAACCTGCGGAGGCCTCCGCACCCCGTGGTGCTGCAGTGGATTGCGAAGGCGTGGGATCAAGTCCCCAAGCAGGCCATCATTGACGTGTTCCGCCACTGTGGGATTTCAAGCGAGCTGGACAGGACACAGAACCACCTCGTGATGTCTCACCTGCGCGCGAGGAGCACCACCGATGTCTCTGAGGACATGACGCTCGGGGGGACCACGGGCGACAACACGCGCCTACTTGGGCAGGCTCTTGAGGAGGAGGAGGAGGAGGAGGAGATGCAGGCGGAGGGCGTCAAGGAGGTGGCCGTGGCAACCGGCCTGGAGGTGCTGTACCAGGAGACCCCCAACTACCACGGAGCGGCGGCCGAGGCTGATCGCATTATCGAGCCAAGGCAGACGGCTAGGCATGCCTGGCGAGTGCCAGACCTGGGTGTTAGGGACAGGCCCTCAGATTGGTTTTGGGTTAGTCTGAAAAATCAGAGTTGGTAAATGCATTAACTCTGAAAATCAGAGTTTTTCCTGCAGAAATACCACTGCACACTAGAAAAAAATCGCATTTTTCCTGGGTTTTCTAAAAAAAAGGGCTGAATTTTCAGAGTTCACTTCGAAAAAGGCTGAAATATAAGAGTTTCTCTGACTTATGTGGGCCTGGTTAGGGAGCTTGATCTTAGTGCAGATGAGGAGGCCGTGACGGAGGGGGGCTAGGTAGTATAAGTAGAAATTCATGAATGTATATGCATGTACCCCCTATAAGAAAGTAAGGATCGTTTAGAAGACACCCCCTCTTTATAAGATAACCCCTAAACCCTTGTTCTGATTACAAGACACTGTCTTAAGTCGTACACACCTGTAGGTGTCTTATAATGAAGAACACCCGTTTATAATAGACACCCGTTTAATAGACACCCCGTCTTCTATTCAACACAGTCTTATATCCGGGCGATGACGGTACTTTGATTGGTCGGACAGACCTTGGTAAAAAAAACTGACGCGTCAGACGGGAAAAACGAAAAATTTGATGGATCAGGCACATATGAATCCTAGCAAGGACCCTGGTTGTCAGTACTCACGTGCTGGCGTTGTAGTGCATCATTACGAAATTGGGTGTATCGGGACGAAAATTCCAGGAAACTTCGTTTCGATAGGTCGAGTTTCAGGAAGGGGGGGCAGGGGAGTTCCCTATACGCTCTTCAGGGTAATCTTGGCCTAAATCGTTACACTGACATATCAGTGTAACACTAATCCGCCAAAAAATTACCCTAACACATCAGTGCAGGCCCTAAATTTCACCCTTATAATCAATATTGTAGTGTGAATTACACTGATAAAATAGGCCCTGTGCTGAGCGGAGCGAGCAGGGGGGGTGATTATTCACCACCACTGTCGTCACCACCACCACCACCACCATCACCATCATCAGCACCACCACCACCACCATCACCATCATCAGCACCACCACCACCACCACCACCACCATCACCATCATCAGCACCACCATCACCACACCATTATCACCACCGGTAGCGCCTACACTACTATCGCTGCTGCTGCCAGTTTCACCGCCGCTGCTGCCATCGCCAGCACTGCTGCTGCCACTCCTTCCTCCCACTCCACGCAACCACCGGGCAACATAGTCTGAGACATGGGACCATCTCAAAACAGCCCCGCAGTCGAGGCTGAGGGGAGGCACCACCAGGTCCTCGTGCACAAATGCCACCTCGATGCACGGGTAGCACAGCGGGCTGGGGTTGGGCTTGGTTTCACCTACGCCCCACCACTGTCATCACCACCCCCATCACCACCACCACTAGAGCCTGTGCTGCTGCTGCTGCTGCTGCCCTCCTCTCCCTCAACCCCTTCCCCTCCTTCCCCTTCCTGTTCCCCTCCCCCTTCCCCTCGCCCTTCCCCCCCGCATTCCCCTTCCCCTCCCCTTTCCCCTCCCCTTTCCCCTCCCCCTTCCACTTCCTCTCCCCCTTCCCCGTCCCCTCCCCCTTCCGCTTCCTCTGCCCCGCCCTCCACTCCAGCCAGCCACTGCATCACGTAGTCAGAAACCTGAGACCGCCTCAAAACACCCGCACAGTCAAGGCTGAGGGGAGGCACCACCAAGTCCTCGTGCACAAACGCCACCTCGATGCACGGGTAGCACAGCGGGTTGGGGTTGGGGTTGGGGTTGGGTCACTTACGCACCACCACTGTCACCACCAGAGTCTACACTGCTGCTGCTGCCCTCGTCTCCCTCACCCCCTTCCCTTCCCCCTTCCTGTTCCCCTCCCCCTTCCCCTCCTCCTTCCTGTTCCCCTCCCCCTTCCCCTCCCCTTTCCTGTTCCCCTCCCCCTTCCCCTCCCCCTTCCTGTTCCCCTCCCCATTCCCCTCTCCCTTCCTGTTCCCCTCCCCCTCCCCCTTCCCCTCCCCCTTCCCCTTCCCCTCCCCCTTCCCCTCCCCCTTCCCCTCCTCCTTCCCCTCCCCCTCCCCCTCCCCCTTCCCCTTCCCCTCCCCCAGGCCCCCCTGCCCATCCCCCTCCTCCTCCAGGCAGCCACTGCATCACATAGTCAGAAACCTGAGACCGACTCAGAACACCCGCACAGTCAAGGCTGAGGGGAGGCACCACCAAGTCCTCGTGCACAAACGCCACCTCGATGCACGGGTAGCACAGCGGGTTGGGCTCCACATGGAACATGCGGTATCCCATTCCCTCCATGGCGTAGAGATAGGCCAGGGATTGCTGGGGCTTGTGCATGCTGGAGGAGGGGAGGGGGAAGGCGGGGGAGGGGAGAAGAGCAGGAGTGGGGTTGCTTGAGCCATGTGGGGTAGCACAGCGGGTTGGGCTCTACATGCAACATGCGGCACCCCATGTCCTCCCTGGCGTATCAGATATAGGGCAGAGCGCGCTTCAGGTCATGCTAGTGTAAACAAAGCTACGACCAGAAGAGGGAGAGGGGATGTGTGAGCAGAGCAGGTGGGTGGCTCTACATGCAGTACCCCATACCCTCCCAGGCGTATCAGACATAGGGCAGAGAATCTCCAGAAGATTTCCCTTATTTATCACCAGCTTTATTGAGTGTGTGTGTGTGTGTGTGTGTGTGTGTGTGTGTGTGTGTGTGTGTGTGTGTGTGTGTGTGTGTGTGTGTGTGTGTGTGTGTGTGTGTGTGTGTGTGTGTGTGTGTGTGTGTGTGTGTGTGTGTGTGTGTGTGTGTGTGTGTGTGTGTGTGTGTGTGTGTGTGTGTGTGTGTGTGTGTGTGTGTGTGTGTGTGTGTGTGTGTGTGTGTGTGTGTGTGTGTGTGTGTGTGTGTGTGTGTGTGTGTGTGTGTGTGTGTGTGTGTGTGTGTGTGTGAGTGTGAGTATGTGTGTGTGTGTGTGTGTGTGTGAACACACACGCAGAGGTTACAGTCACTCACACGTGAAACTCCACCAACAGTTGCCCAGACAGGTTTTGAGGCGCCTCAAAACTGAGTGTGCAATGCAAGAGGATACAGTTACTGATTAGTGAAACACGCACGCGTGAAACTCCAGCAACAGTTGCCCAAACAGAAGATTCCCTCCATTTATCACCAGCTTTGCATCCCTTATGAGTGTGTAACTCAAGAGGCTTGAACACAAGAAAAGGTTACAGCCAGTCACGTGTGCAACTCCACTACCAGTCCAAACAGCAGATTCCTCCATTTATCACCAGCTTCGTACCACTTATGAGAGTGTGCATGTGTGTGTGAACACAAGTGGATACAGGTTTAGGGTCTCACGCGTGAAACTCCACCAACAGTTGCCCAAACAGCAGATTCCCCCCATTTATCACCAGCTTCGCATCTCCCCTCCCCCTCCTCTTCCCCTCCAATTCCTCCTCCGTCCACGCCCCTCCCTCCTTCCTCCTCCTCTCCACAAACTCCTCAGTCTCCCTCTTCAGACCCATGATAAACTCCTCCTCACACCCCTCACAGTCCATTTTCAGCACATCCACATACTCATGCCCTAGCTTCTCCATCGCCCCTTTGAGGGTCATAAAGGTGATTCCGGGGTTTTGCTCCCGGAATTTTTCGAGGCTTGCAGCGCCCGCGATGGCGATTTGGTTGAAGTGGAGGAAGGGGAGGGCGAGCATGCGGTGGGAGGCGTTGGCGGAGAGGAAGGGGTCGAAGGTGAATGGCTTAGTGTGCAGCGCCGCGCCTAAAGCCTGCTCGAAGTCGTATTGCTCGTTGCTGCCCACACTGGGAGGGGGAAGGCAGCGGGGGTGTAGGAAATGGGGAAAGAAGTGAGGGAGAGGGGAAATGGGGAAGCAGGGGAGTGGGTCAATGGGTTGGTGTGCAGCGCCGCGCCATGGCTTGCTTAAAGTCGTACTGCTCGTTGCTGCCCACACTTGGAGAGGGGGGGGGGTGGGGAGGGGAGGGGTGGGGAGGGGAGGGGAGTTGAGACGTCTCAAAAGGAGGAAGAGCCAATGGCTCGATCAAACTCGTACTGCTTTTTGCTGCTCACACTGGGAGGGGGGAGAGGGGGAGGGGGGGGAAAAGGAGGAGGGAGAGGGCTAAGTGGCGAAATACGCTTTTGCCTTTAAGCGTATAGCGTTTATCCGCTTGCGTATACACGCAAAACGCTATACGCCAACGAATACGCAATACGCTCGGGGTTTTTTTTTGGGGCAGCCCAAAATCGATTTTTTTTTAGTATATCTGAAAAGTTTCGTCTTCTCACGGCGAAGAAGATGCCGTGCTCGAAATGCACGCTCGAGATCTACCCTGGCCTGGACTTTGCTTCAATGTGTGTAGGTGAGCTGGTTTCCGTGCTTTCAAATCGCGGTGCCGCGACTGTGAGTTGGGTTACGTGGCTCCAATGTTTGGAGTCGCGATGTCCTTGACATTTCACATTGGAGTTCCACCAATTTGTACCGCTCTCGATCTACAATCTCCCTCCAATCCAACTTCTCTCCACCAATCCATCCCACGCTACTTAACAAGCAAGTATTGTTCTATCTCGTCAATTCATCCTCCTGTATACTTCACAGAGATTTTTAGAATGGCTTCTGCAGTTGTTAACCCGGCCCAGTCCACTCCCCCTCCTGATACTGGCACGGCCAGTCCTGATCGTGCGGCGCGAGTTTACCTTCCGGATGTCGACCACGATGAGCATTTCCGCCTCATAAAGGTGGACGAGGGGAAATCGCAGCAGTACGAGTGCAGGTACTGCTGCAATGTTTTTTCTGGTGCCGCCATCCGCTGCGCGCAGCACTTGGCGAGTTGGAGGAAGATGAAGCGCCGCGAAGTGGCGCTATGCAAGGAAGCCCCCACTGAAGCACAGGTTGCCATGCGGAAGAAGTACGAGGCTAAGGCTGCCGCGGCGGCTCAGCGCCGCCAGGCGACATCGGATGCCATCGCGTCGGTCACCAGCAGCGGCAAGAGGAGCCGCATTACTGACTACTTGGAGACGGATGTGGAAGCTGGGAAGCGCGATGCACATGAGGCGTTGGCGCTCATGTTCGCGGGGTGTCGCATCCCGGAGCGCGTCGCGGAGCACCCTCTCTTCATCAACGCCGTTCGTGCCATTAGAGATGCCGGCACAAAATACGTCCCACCAAACAGGCGGTTCATCGGCGGGGCGGGCTTGCGAATGTGCTGCGACAACATCGACAGGGGGCTTTCTGGAGTGAAGGCGAGCAGGAAGCGGACCGGCGTGACAGTTGCTTCTGATATGATGACCGATAAGAACGGTCGCCCCCAGGCGAACGTGTTTCTCGTCAACGACAGTGGCGCGGTGTTCAAGGACAGCGTGGACTGCCGCATGGGGACCAAAACCGGCGGTTATGTCGCCAGCATCCTCAGGCCCGTGGTGGAGGAGGTCGGTCCGGAGAACGTGGTGGCGTTCTGCACGGACGGTGGGTCCAACTACGCGGTGGCGTGCAACCATTTGATCGCGGAATGGCCGCACATTTAACACGTGCCTTGCGGCACCCACGTGTTGGACCTCTTCATGGAGGACGTCGGCAAGATGCCGTGGGCCAAGAACGTGGTGGACCCTGCGGGCGATATCAGCTCCTTCCTCCGCAACCACCACTGGACGAGGGGATACTTGCGGAACCCGGAAATGGTGGGTGCAAGGATGCTGCAGGCTGGAACAAGATTCGGGACACAATACATTGTTGTGTCCCGTCTCTGTGAGCTGCGGCAGTCGCTTGCACAGATGGTTGTGTCTGATGTGTGGAAGGGCTGGGCAGTTGGGGAGAGGAAGAAGCCTGCGGAGAAGTTTGCAGCGCAAGTTCTTGATGACGCGTGGTGGAAAACGGCGGAGTTTTTCTGCAAGCTGATGAAGCTCCTGTTCTTCGCAATGCGTAAGACCGATGCGGATGCCAAGGGGATGACGTCATTCTGGAGGATGAGTATGAGTAGGTGGCGTAATTGATATGGAGTAGCGTGAGTTGTAGTATGTGTACTAGTAGTATGAGATGAGTATGTGTCATTGTAATGTTGTTGGTGAATAATTTTGGGTCGGGAAAAAAATCCGGGAAATCCAACCCCTGTGGAAACTGACCGCATAAGTATATCAGGGGGGTCTTACTTTAGCTGCCCTAACTTTTTTTAAACCTGCCCGACTAGCGTATCTAGGGTTTCGGGACCTATGCGTATAGCGTATAAACACTAGCGTATATACGATACGCGTATATACCCACTTAGGGAGAGGGGGGGTGGGTGTGCCTCTGCACAGCTGCTTACTTACCTGTAACCAACAACGTTTTTTCTGGATGGCAGGGAATTTTGAGTTGAGTCAAAAGGTATGGAACAGGGATTTGAAGTTTGAACCATGCTGGCATTGCTTACCTGTGGTGGGTGGCACTGCTTACCTGTGGTGGGTGGCACTGCTTACCTGTAGACTACAGGCTTTTCTCGGATAGCAGTTGGCAGCATGCACACCCACTGCAGTGGATATTGGGGTGAGGGAGGGGAGGAAAGTGGGAAAGAGATGAGGTGGAGGCAGGGAAGGGAGGGAGATAAATATTGGCAGCATGCATGCACACCCATTTCAGTGGATAATGGGGTGAGGGAGGGGAGGAAAGTGGGAAAGAGGTGAGGTGGTGGCAGGGGAGGGAGGGGGGAGAGTGATTGGCAGCACGCACACCCACTGCATAGACAGCAAGATGGGGCGGGGAGGAAAGTGGGAAGAGGTTGGGGGGAGGCAGGGGAGGAAGGTGGGGGAAGGTGGGGCGGAGGCAGAGGGAAGGAGGAGGAGAGGGTTAGATAGCAGCATGCACATGCACACATGCACACATGCACATGCACGCCCATGGAGTGAATTGCATGGGAGGATAGGGGAAGAAAGTGGGAAGAGGTTAGGGGGAGGCAGGGGAGGAGGGAAGGTGAGGTTAGGGGAGGTTAGGGGAGGAAGGTGAGAAAAGTCGGAGGCAGAGGAGGAGGGAAGAGGAGGGAAAAGGTTAGTTGGCAGCATGCACACCCACTGCAGAGGATAGCAAGAATTGCTTTTGAGACGTCTCAAAAGAAGGAGAAGGTTAGTTGGGTTGGGAGCATGCACACCCACTGCAGAGGATAGCAAGAAGTGGCACGAGAGGAGGAGGACAGGGGGGAGGTGGGGGAGAGGTGGAAAGAGGCAGGAGGAGAGGCAGGGGAGGGAGAGGAGCGAGCAAGAGGAGGAGAGGGTTAGATGGCAGCTGCACACCCACTGTAGAGGAGAGAAAGGTGGGGTGGGGTGGAGGCGGGGGAGGAATGTTGGGGGAGGTGGGGGGAGGGGGAGGGGGAGGGAGGGCAGGGGAGGGGAGAGGAGGGAGAGAGGGAGAGGCAGCTGCACACCCACTGTAGTGGAGAGCAAGGTGGGGTGGGGTGGAGGCGGGGGAGGAATGTTGGGAGAGGTGGGGGGAGGGGGAGGGGGAGGGGAGGGCAGGGGAGGGGAGAGGAGGGAGAGAGGGAGCTGCACACCCACTGTAGTGGAGAGCAAGGTGGGGTGCAACAAGTAGGCGCAAGGGGAGAGAGGGGTGCAAGCAATGTGGCAGGGGTAAGCAGGCAAAACAACCACCCTGTAGGTCAAGGCAATAGGTACTACTCGGGTTCCCTAGAAAACAAAAAAAAAGGAGAGAAAAGAAAAGACAAGAAAAGAAAAGAAAAGAAAATAAAAGAAAAGAAAAGAAAAGAAAAGAACCTCAAACGTTCCCATGTTCCCATCCCCCATCCTTACACTCTCACCCAGGTCCCATACGTATGTGAGCAGAAGGCATCGAAATGAAATCACCTCATTATTATGCCTCATCGAAACGAAAGCACCTCATCATTATGCCTTTTCTTCCAGCCGCATCCTTCCCCTACTCACCTTCCCACTATCCCCCCATCTTCCCCTCGTCCCCTCCCCAGGCTCCCCTCACCTTCCCGCCATCCCCCCATCCTCGTTCCTCTGCCGGGCACGGATAAGGGGGCACGAGCACGGACAGCAGCAGAGAAGGGGAACAGAGGAGGGGAACAGAGGAGGGGAGCAGAGGAGGGGAGCAGAGGAGGGGAGCAGTAGGGGAGCAGTAGGGGAGCAGTAGGGGAGCAGTAGGGGAGCAGTAGGGGAGTTACCCAAAGAACCCAACCCAGCCATTCACTCACCTTTCCGCCACCCCCCCACGCGCCCACTTGCTCCTCTGCCGGGCACGGATAAGTGGGCACGAGCACAGACAGCAGCAGAGGAGAAAGCAGAGGAGAAAGCAGAGGAGAGAGCAGAGAAGAGGGGTGGCAGGGAGTAACCGGAAGGACCCAACCCAGCCACTCACCTTCCCCAATAACCATCCCCGTATCCCCTCACCTTCCCCAATAACCATCCCCGTATCCCCTCACCTTCCCCAATAACCATCCCCGTATCCCCTCACCTTCCCCAATAACCATCCCCGTATCCCCTCACCTTCCCCAATAACCATCCCCGTATCCCCTCACCTTCCCCAATAACCATCCCCGTATCCCCTCACCTTCCCCAATAACCATCCCCGTATCCCCTCACCTTCCCCAATAACCATCCCCGTATCCCCTCACCTTCCCCAATAACCATCCCCGTATCCCCTCACCTTCCCCAATAACCATCCCCGTATCCCCTCACCTTCCCCAATAACCATCCCCGTATCCCCTCACCTTCCCCAATAACCATCCCCGTATCCCCTCACCTTCCCCAATAACCATCCCCGTATCCCCTCACCTTCCCCAATAACCATCCCCGTATCCCCTCACCTTCCCCAATAACCATCCCCGTATCCCCTCACCTTCCCCAATAACCATCCCCGTATCCCCTCACCTTCCCCAATAACCATCCCCGTATCCCCTCACCTTCCCCAATAACCATCCCCGTATCCCCTCACCTTCCCCAATAACCATCCCCGTATCCCCTCACCTTCCCCAATAACCATCCCCGTATCCCCTCACCTTCCCCAATAACCATCCCCGTATCCCCTCACCTTCCCCAATAACCATCCCCGTATCCCCTCACCTTCCCCAATAACCATCCCCTTATCCCCTCACCTTCCCGCCATCCCCCCATGCGCCCACTCGCTCCTCTGCTGGGCACGGATAAGGGGGCATGAGCACGGACAGCAGCAGCTGCGGCAGGTCATATGCGTCCATGGGCCACTGATCCCCGTTATGAGCTGCTTTCCTACGGTCTATATTAGCCTGAGGGAGGACGGGGAGAGGGAAGGGTATGAGGGGGAAATGGGGAGCAGCAATACACAGACGGCACAAGCACGGACAGCAGCAGCGACGGCAGGTCATATGCACCCATGGGCCACTGATCCCCGTTATGAGCCGCCTTCCTTCTGTCTATATTAGCCTGGAGGAAGTTGGGAGGGGGGGGAGGAATGGGGGATTGGAGCAGCAGCAGCAACGGCAGGTCATATGCGTCCATGGGCCATTGATCCCCGTTATGAGCTGCCTTCTGTCTATATTAGCCTGGGGGGGATGAGAAAGGACGGGAAAGGACGGGAGAGGTGGGGAGCCGCAAGCATCCATGAACGATTCATCCCCGTTATAAGCTGCTTCTTTGGTCAATTTTATCCTCTGGGGAAGAGATGATGCACAGGGGGAGGAAGGGGAGTTGGAGGAAAAGGAGCGGGGACGCTTTTTTGGGTGAAAAAACTCACTTCTCGATCCAATCGGTTCCATAGCCAATATTATAATTTGGCAATTTCTGTTTTATTCTTCATCCTCTAATTCGGATTTGTTACAAATGGCCTTTGAAAGTGGCCGCATCGCGTTATTTTTCGCCTCGCCCACAATAAGAAATATTCCGCCCATGTTCCGCCCCCAGTAAGCTCTGTTCCGCCCATGTTCGGCCCTCAGTAAGCGATTCTCCGCCCACTGCAAGCTATTCCGTCTCATAACGTACCCAGTAAGCAGCCTCGGCTCGACACAGCGACCACGCAATGGCAACGCCATTAACGAGTTCGGCTTGTAACGAGGATACAGCAGGATCGGTCGAGCTTCGAGGCGCCTCAAAATTTGATGAAGAAGCACCATCGGAAAAGGCATCCGAAGCGGCAACGTCCGTCGAAAGCGTTTCGAGTGGCTGGAATATTAGCAGCAGTGGTGCGCCGAGCAAGAGAATGGCGACCGCGACGATTACGTACGGCTTAACTTTCTCTAAAAGCTTCTCGTTTTGGTGCAAGAAGTCGGAGGACGAGCCGCCGCGGACTACGATATACGACATGGCGGTCCGTGGCTTCGCGAACTCGAAACGAGACAAAGTGACGGAAAGCTACGATTTTGAGAGAGAGCATTGCAGATGACGAGTAACAAATACGGTAGCCGGCAAACGGACACATGCTCAGGAGAAGCCTTCGAACAGATACGGACCGCCTGACTCGTTAGAGAAGTGGTACGACATTCTGATGGTCTAGACTGCCGGGGTAGGTAACGGGATATCGTGGTCTACTATTACTACCAATGCCACCGAGTACTGAAGATAGAATCGAAAGCCCTGGAGAGGTGAGTGCGGAGTGGCGGAACGACGCGGCGGACAGAAAAAAGGACTAGTATTGTCCTTCAGTGTTCTTGGCTTGAGAGTCAACAGTCTCAAATTCTGACTGGACTGATAAGGACCAGTTTGGATGGCGACAAAGAGATTATGCATAGTGTCATACTCGTTACACGAAATGCGTTAGTAGTCCGACTTGTGTAGAGCACGTGATATGATTATGTAGGGTTCTCAGAAAGTTGCGAAGTTGCGACCAGGGTCGCTTGCTGCGAATTCAGTCACTTCGTTTGTTACTGTTGAGATAATATCGAGACTTAAAGCTTTCGTATACATTTGACAGAAGGGGTTCAAAAACTTTTGAAATTTGAAAGTTTGCCTGTGAGACCGTGAGGTGACTTTCTAAACCCAAAACCTGGATGACAAATGTATACTTCAGCTTTAAGCACTCCAAGGATATTCGTGTAGTACAGTAAAGTACCGATAGGCTGACGTAAGCAAAGCGCTACGCGCCCCAGGGTGACGTCAGCACGTAGCTATAGACCTCGCGAAAAGTTATGTACCGTTTCAGAACAGGAATAGCACAGTACAGTAGACGAACAGGTACTTTACTCTAGCTATATATTCTGTATGCGTGTCATTTTATAATATATCTGATTTCAGATGCATTGATCCTGAAACATATCACTACATGGGCTTTTATTAAGTCCAGACAAAGCCTTCATAACTGGCTTTAACTCATATAAGACTTCCGCTACGACAGGGAGCTACCATCCTAAGTAGTACGATCCTATTCAATCACTTCAAATTCTAACATGGTATTGCGAGCGTCTTAGGATATTACAAGCTTCCAACTACATACTCTGCAACTATGTCTGGCTCTCCACGATCCAACAACGGCTTTTCTGTTACGAGCCCATCACGCCCAACAGCGTCTCCAGCTGCTGACAATTCTTATCTGCAGCAACAACAGCAACAACAACAATATCAGCAACAACCGATGTACGGCATGCCACTGAGCAGTCAGCCCGTACACACAACTGCAGCAGTGGCATCATCGACAGCAGCCGCAGCAACAGCAGCCACAACAGCTGCAGCTGCAGTCACTGGTTCTTCTACTCAACCAGGACAACAGTCCAGTTTCGTACCGACTGGACCTTATCAATATCAAGGTGCTTACCAGCCAACAAATCTTCAACAGCGTGTCAATGCTGCCGTCTTATCACTTAACCAAATGTTTCCAACTCCTATGAGCCTTGATGGCTCCAGTTATCAGCATGGACAGATGCCACAGGGAAGCGACGGGACGAATAACTCATTTTCTTTCGTTCATGCTGGACAAGGACAACAAGCACCACACGGGTCACAGATGCCATCAATTTATCAGTTACAGTCAGCTGACGGTACCGAAAATTATCTTCCCGCTTTTGCAAACCCAACAAAAAATAAAACGACAGTGCCTTTTAACGGTCAAGACTTCTATACCTGGAGCTTTGAATTTGAGCTTCTTGTTCAGACCGCGGGGTTCTGGCAGCTGTTCGACGGCACAGCACCCTTTCCATCTCACGGGTCACCACTTCAACAGGCCACTTTTTGATCGGCGTCGCTGACTGCATACACTGTTCTCGTTCGTAATCTGACACCGACTGAACAGCTTGGTATTCGTCCTTTTCGTACCAGTGCCGCTCCCGCTGAAGCAGCTTGGTTATACCTGCAAGGGGTTCACATGGCAAAGGACACTGTCAACCAGAGTAAAATTTTAACGCAGCTGTCAAATATACAGATTATAAACGGCGAGAAGGTGACGCAGTATATCAAACGCGCTTGAAATCTGCGTGATCAACTTCAGAAGTGTGGAGGGTACTTCCTCAACGCTATGTTTCACGCGGTGCTACTCGCGGGTCTTGGACCAGAATGGCGACAGTGTCGCTCTATTCTTCGGATGCAAGCACAATTGTCCGAGGGGGCACTCTGTGCAGCTCTCATCGCCGAGCAGCAGGATATGGACCTGCACAACGCTCAAGGAGGGGAAAAGGTGGTAAACAACACAGTCAGTTTTTATTCTAATCCACGTCACAAGCCCGTTTGTTCCTTTTGTCGCAAAGCAGGACACACTATTGATACCTGCTGGTCGAAGGATAAACCATCTTGGAAGCGGTCTACATCGAAACATACCAAAGATTCTTCAGGTGAAGCTAAGAAGCCGGAAGCTGCGAAGCAGAATACTGCGAAGCCGAACTCTGCGAAGCCGCCTACTACACCTGCCAAGACACAAGCGAAAGACGTTATCAATTGTATGACGTCAGTTTCTACCGCCTACGATCCTGACGCTGAAGATCGTATTCACAATAACTTCAACGATGAACTCAATATGCCCATACCACCCGAGGTCTACGCCAACCTTGCACATACCTTGGAAGGTCCTAACACTTGGTATCTCGACAGTTGTTGCGGCCAGCATATGTGTTCATCAGAAAACCGTTTCGTCATCAATCAGCGTCGTCTTCAGAATCCATGCGTTGTAACCGTCGCCAACAATCAACGCCTTACAGCACACTGGATGGGTAACATCATTCTTGATTCTGTTGACGAAGACTTCAGTCTTCATCTTAACGACGTACTTCTCGTTCCTCGACTTGGCTTCAATATGATGTCATCTGCACAGCTCATGAGGAATGGAATTACTCTTCTTGGCGAACCGGGCAAGTTTACTTTAAAATATGGAGACAGGAAACTCGGCACGGAAATTGAACAGAACGGTGTATTCTGTCAAACTTATATATGCTATAGTCTATTTAGGCTGTAGTGGGGTAGTCCTTAGAGGGTACAACACTTTTGTGTTTCCTACTTGTACCCATCTCATTTCTAGTTCATTCATTCCACTCATTATTCTCACATGGTATAGAGCAGGTTCCCTAGTGGAACTTTTTTTTAGGGCCCACCACTACCAAAAGTTTTTTTTTCCTTACCTGCCCGAGGCGCGTGTCGCGTTTTTCCTAGCAGCGCCCTCGCGCCCGCCCTTTGAGGCCCTTAGTGGCCCGTCGCTGCCCCTTCGCGGCCCGTCGCGGCCCCTCTTACGGCCTTTCGCGGCCCCCTGTAGCAACCCGTCGCGGCCCCTCTTTAGCGACCAGTCGCGGCCCGTCGCGCCCCCCCCCTTTCGCGACCCGTCGCGGCCCCTAGCGGCCCTTCGCGGCCCCTCTGACGGCCCGTCGCGGCCCCTCTTAAGGCCCGTCGCGGCCCCTCTTAAGGCCCGTCGCGGCCCCTCTGCCGGCCCTTCGCGGCCCCCTTTAACGGCCCTTCGCGGCCCCTCTGCCGGCTCGTCGCGGCCCCTCTGCCGGCCCGTCGCGGCCCCTCTGCCGGCCCGTCGCGAACCCCCTTCTCGGCCCCAACTGACGCGCCCCAGCTGGCGCGCCCCCGGCCGGCTCCTGCTGCCGAGCCCCTGCCGGCCCCAACTGGCGCGGCCCCTCCTGGCGTGCCCCTGCCGGCGCCAACTGACGCGCCCCAGCTGGCGCGCCCCCGGCCGGCTCCTGCTGCCGTGCCCCTACCGGCCCCAAGCGAGCTGCTGCGAGTGTCGTTCTTCATGCTCGCGGTCTGCGATTGTCTGACAACACCCTCCTTGCGAGCCAAACCGCTTGTTTCGTTTGTGGACAATCCGTTCAAGTGCGCCCACAAGCTTCTCCGCTACCGACAGTTTCTTCTGAGACTAATAATCCCATAGGTAAACTCAAGCGCTTTCATGTCGATTGCAATATACTTGTGTTCCAATTTTGGAAAAAGGTGGTCCGATCCTGTACCCCAAAAATCTCAACACCCACACTTAATAGAATGTATGTATTTAGGATACACAAAATTAGAGGTTCAAACGACGAAGCCATGAGGCTTGTGGCGGCCTTATATATACTAATATTTTCTGTTAGTTGATTATACAAAACCGA